AGGAGGAGGAGGAGGGAGAAGGAAGGGAGTTGCAGGAGAGGACCTAATGGGAAACGAGTGTGACGTGGACTTGTCAGAGCGTGTGCTAGAGGTTGTCCGGCCCGTTTCGTTTGAGACATCCTTCCAATACTGAACTCCAAGATGTCGCTCGCGAGGTGGTCCAGCCCGTTTCGATTGAGCCATCCTCGCAATGCGAGGCTCGAAGATGTTGCGCGTGAGATGGTCTGGCCCGTTCTGCCTGAGACGCTTCGTAGCACAGAGGCTCCAATCACAACCTCTCTCATTCCTTCTCCCGCCTCCCTCTTCCCACTTCCCGCCTGGCTCCTCTTCCCTCCTCCCTCCTCCCGCCTCCCGCCTCCCGCTGCTGCGCCTCTGCCTCCGCCTCCCCGTCCCCGCCGTCGTCGTTTCTGCCGCCTCAGCATCCGTCATGCGCGCACTGCCTTCTGCCCCGCCCAGACATCCGACGTCACGATTTTTCTTTGGAAACGTGCGCCGCGTACCTCTCGATATCATCCCCGGGGGAACCATCACGACATGCCCCCCCGCTTCCGCGCCCTCCCCAGCGTCTTCTTACAGTTGCTTCCGAGTTCACAGCATGGCGGCGGAGCCTCTCACAGTGCCGACCCGACAGCTTACTCGTCGCCCAGGTGCGAGAGAGTACGACACCCTCTAGCGTTAGTTTCCTGATAGGTATGCGTCATACAAATAGTCGTGCAAACATCTCATGTGCAAACATCATGTAACTAATCATGTTCTAACATGCCATGCCAGTCCGCACTGGACGGGCACGCAATCGATCCTCGAAACCGCAGTGGGTCTAAAAACCCTGTTTGGGGATACTGCACTCCGGCTATAATATTTCTGTTCGCCGTGTAATATATAAAGTCGTTATTCGTGGCTGCCACCATTCCTTACCTGGGTGCGGTCTGGAGGGGGTGTCGAACGTGCCTTTGCACACACGAACGCACGCACCCACACACCCACGCCACGCGTTCACACTTTTTCGTCGGCGGCGAGGCGGCGAAATCCGCACCAGCGCAACAGCTTGTGAGGGGCACGAACTAGCGGATTGGCCGGCGTGCAAGGAGGGGTGGGGGAGGCCGAGGGGAAAGAAGGACGCCCAAACGCCGAAGAAATCGACGATGAGCAGCCGGCGGCCAGGCGCGCAGGGCCTGAGCGCGGTGGGCGGCCGCGGTGAGCCACGGGGGCAAGGTTGGCGTGGAGTGGCAGCCGCCAGGGGCTGGGGGAGCGCAGGACACACCGCGGGCGTCGCACCGCGGCGCCCCGAGGAGAACGCACCACACTGAGCCCTGCGGGGGCGGGAGCAGCGAACAGCAGGCAGCGAGAGACAATGCAGCGGGACCGCCTGAAGCCAGGTGGCCGGAGGGCCGGGTTCGGCGGGAGGCAGCAAAGCGTCCCGCGCGCCCGCGGGCTGCGGGGCGGACCAGCGACGCGGAAGAGACGACGGGCACCCAGAAGCGGCGACGCGACCAGACCCAGCAGAGGGGACATCGGCCGCACTGGGCAGCCGAGGAGGAAGTAGGCAAAGCGGGAGGTGCCGCGGCGGGCATAGCGTCCCGCGGTGGCCCGCAGGAGCGGGGCGGAACAGCACCGCAACGGGAAGAGGCGGCGCGAAGCCGCCGCACAGAGGGGGAGCACCGACGGAGGCGGAAGCCGGGAAGCAGAGCAGGGCGGAGGGGGCGACGCGCCGCCCCCCCGGGAGGTACGATATCGAGGAGCGGGGGCGGGGAACACTGGGAGGTGCAGGCACCGAGCAGCGAAGCGGCACGCACGCCGGCCAGCGCGGTGCGGCGGAGGAGCACCGAAGGGGACGGCGAACGGGCGGCGCGCCTCCCAGGTAGAAGCAAGCGACCAGGACCTCGGCCCGCGCCGGCCGGGGGGGAACCCCGACCGGCACCGACGGCGGGGGGGAGCGCGGAGGCCAGGCGAGGAGGGGCGGCCCCGGGGGCGCGGAGCGGCACCCGGGGCAAGGGGGGAAGAGGCACCGCCAGGTGGGGGTGGGCGGCGGGCCCAGGCGGGCAGAGCGCGGGAGGGGGAGCGCCGAGCCCGGGCGCCGGGCGGCGGCGGGCAGGAGGGCCGCGCCCAGTGGAGGGCGGCAGGCCAAGGGACAGCGAGCGGGGGGGCCCGGAGGCAGAGCGCCGACGGAGCGGCGGCCGACGCGGGCGAAGTGGCAGGGGAGCGACGGCGGCCAGACACCGGTGGCCGGTGCTGGGGGGGTGGCCCTTCGAAGACCTGGCAGAGGGAAGGGCACAGGCGCCGGAGCGAGCGCCGCCCGGCTGGCAGAGCACGGCAAGAGGGCCGAGGGCCGAGGGGTGCCGCGGGCAGGGCCCGGACAGCACCTGCAGGAGGCCGGCGGCCAAGAGGCAGGAGGGCGGCGGCGGAGCAGGGCACCCCGACGCAGGCAGGGAGGGGCGGCGCGCAGGTCACGAGCGGGCGGCAAGACCAGCCAGCAGCGACGGGGCCAACCTGGAGAAGGCAGCCGCGATGGGAGCCGGCCGCGCGCCGGCGCAGGCGCGGGCGGGCCCCGCGCGTGGGCGCGAGGAGAGGGCAAGGCCCCGAGCGCAGCAGCCTGCGGGGTGGGCACCGAACAGGTGCGCGATGGGAGGCAGCCGCGAGGGCAGGGAGGAAGGGCAGCGGGCAGGCCCCGAGCAAGGGCGGGGGGCCTGCGGGGAGGCGCAGGAGGTGAGCAAACCACGAGGGCAGGGAGGGGAGGGCAGCTGCCAGAGAGGCCACTGCCAGGGCGGGGGTGCCACGCTCAGTACAGGACGAGGTCGTAGGGTGGCTGCTGAAAAACACCAGCGGTGGCTGCTGGAAGCCGACCCGCGCTGGCGGGAAGGGTCGCTGCCAGGCCACGAGAAGTCCGCTGGCCGTTTCCCTTTCCCGTGCGGCCGGGCACCCTTCGCTGTGTCTTTCGCGAGGTCAGAGTTCTGCCTCCGCCTGTCAAGCTCGCGATACCACTCAGCGTTCCAGTCGACGTGCATGCCTTTCTTCCAGCAGAGCCTGCGAACGTCGTAGTGGACCTCGCTTGAGGTCTTGCACGAACCCGTGGCACAATTCGGGGCTGCGACGCTGCGGGTCTTTGGCGGAATGGGGTCCAGACTCCAGCCCAGGCGCACCCCGAAGGTGGCGCGGCCGAGGCTCAGCGGAGACCACCCCGCCCTGGAGACGGGAGGCGGCACCACGTCACCCGCCCCCCGTCGCACTGCCCACGCCTCAGCCGGACAGCAGTGACGGACTCTACAACAAGGCAAGGCACCAGGTTACCTGGTTCCCTACTTGGAGCCACCGAGACAACGCAAGGGAGGACTGGAGAGCGGCGATCAACCGCCTCAAGAGAGAATGTGGCCACATGCTCACCAGTGGGTGGAACGCAGTTTGTGGTCCTGGGGGTCTTGCGCAGTGGCCCATCCTCTGCGGCCGGCGATGCGCTGGAATGGGGTTGCACTGGCGGTGGGGGCTCAGTTCGAAGGGGGCTGGTGGAGGGGGGCCCGCTGACCGCAAGCTGGGGGGAATTGCTGGGGCTGCGCCTCCTCCAGGAACGCCCGCTGGCAGGACTTTCCGGGTGAGCACCTCCACTCCAGTCGCAGGAGCATTTGCGGGAGGGCTCGCGAGAGGCGGACCGGGAGCTGAAGCTCCTCCCTGCCCTGCCCAGCCGAGCCTCGGGGGGGGGCGTCAGACGAGTCAGCACGCCCGCCCTTGCCACTGGCGCGGACTGGTACAGTTCCACGCCCAGAGGAGGTGGGGGACTGGCTGTGGGCACGCCGCTCCGTGTCTGCACATGCACAGACACACACGCACACATGCGCGCACACACACACACAGACACACACGTATGCACACATGCAGACACAAACACAACCACACACACACGCATTTATATGCTCATGCACCGCACACAGGCCGACAGACAACCAGACAGACAGGCAGATCGACCGACCCGCCGACAGGCAGACAGACCGGCACACAGACACACAGACACATCGACACACAGATACAGAGACACCCAGACATACATATACAAAGACACACAGAGAGACACACCGACACAAACACACACACACATGCACACACAAACGCACAGACACACAGGCGCACAGACACACAGTGATACACTTCCACACACTTGCAAACACTTACACGCACTTACACATACCTACACACAGAGAAAACACTCAGATTCATGTTGTTCAACGTTATTTGCTTCCCGAGCTTTTCTACCTTAGATGGTTTTAGGAAGATTCTGAGGGTTCCAAGACTGGCCCAGACAACCTCACGGAGCCCAAGAACGGCCCAAGACGACCCCTACAGGACCCACCAAGACAGTCCGTGGACCCCCCAAGACGTCACAAGACCGCCGCAAAAGGGTTGCTACAATTCTCCGAGGCCCGTCCAAACAACTCCAAGAAGGTTCTACCGAGACTGATCGGGAGAGCTCGGTACAATCATCACGCCCAAGACAGCCCGAGAGCGTCCTGGAGGTCTGGGGGAGTAGGGGCCGAACCACGATTCTCCCAACTCCCCTTGCGAGAGAGCGGTTGAACCACCCTGCAAGCAAGCCGATGCTGCGCTAGCACAGTCCCTGAGATCCGACGATGCGAACAAATTGTGATATCGCGGAAAATCAAGGCTGGAGCCCTAGATCCCATCTTCCGATGTTTCTATGTTTCTGTTGAGCCGGATCGATCTCTCACGGTCCCGGAACCCAAAGATGAGCGAGAACGCACGGTGTGACAAAATTGCAACGCACGGATCTCAGGGTCAAACAGATCCGATGTTGTGATTTTTTCCATCCGCGGTCCCCGGAAGTCTCGACCCATTCCCCAGGACTGGTTTTTCATCCTGAGTCGTTTTTTGACGGTCCCGAGGCCCTGAGAGGGCCCCCAGGGGCCGAAATTCGCGAAAAAACTCCGTCTTGTTTTTTTGAATATACGTTGGATCTCTGGGGCGGCGAGGCTCGCCGCAGGCGGCCAGATACCAGCCCTCCATCAGGTGGGACGCCAGGTACCGGCCGACGAGCAAGACGCTCGACCGCAGCTCCGAGGGCCTCTCCGCCACCACGCCCGCCCTGCTCGCGCCGCACAGCTCCTCCGCCGCGGGCAGCAGAGCCTGCAGCAGGCGCGGCATGTCGCGGACGTCTGAGGCCCTGAGCGTGAGGGCTGGCAGGGCCACCTTGAGAGGCAGAAAGAACTGCATAAGCACAAACTTTTGGAGGTCCGCGGGGAGCTCTGGTAGCGGGCCACATGCGAACCCTTCCCCTACCCCCCACGATTTCCGAGGGGGAGGGTGGGGTCCACTTCGCCGAGCCAAGAAGGCACCTGTACCATACCGCTACTCCCCGGACCTCTCCCAGGGCGCGTTCTGACCAGAACTCCGCAGCGAACCCAGCCGTGGCGACGAGGGCCTCCCCCGAGGCCCCCAGAGATACGGAAGCGAGGGAAGGGCAGCAGCATTGGCAACTGTCTGCTCCTCCTCGGGGCCTTGGTGAGGCTGGTCAGGACCCACTCCTGCTGGGACGCACAGAGACATACTAATACTATATGTCTGCCTTGGAGGCGCGCGTCCGACCCGAGCATATAGTATACCCATCTTGTGGTATATCGTTTCTCGAGCGCGCGTCGCCCCTGGGGGGGCGACGAACACATAGTATAAGTATGTTGGGAGGGCGCCGATCCTGCGGCTCGCCCGGCTCGCCCTGGAGCGCGAGCGACCTGCCGCCGACGGGGCCGGCGCCCGCCTCTGGGCCGAGGCCACCAGCAGAGCTCCGAGCGCCCGCGAGGACGACCCTCACGAGCATCGTGGAACCGATCCCTGCCCTCCTCCTCCTGCTTCTCGTCCTGCTCGCCGTTCCTCCTCCTCCTCCTCCTCCTCCTCCTCCTCCTCCTCCTCCTCCTCCTCCTCCTCACCGATGGCATTCCTCCCCTTCCTCCTGCCGCCGACTTACCCCCCCCCCTGGGTGGGGACCTCTGCCCGGCCCCTGGGGTCTCGCGTGGCCTGCCCCCACCCAGGAGGGGGCACTGGCGGGGCCGAGACGCCACGGCCCAAGTGTGGCTGTGGGAGGGGCACAGGCTCCGCGATGCCGACCTCAGGCGCTCCCCCTCGCAGGAGACGTCGAACACGTGCTCCGATCCGTCCGGGAACGACTCGATCAGCTGCACCCCGTCCTCCGAGGACCGGCCGATGGCGAACACGGACCTGCTGTGGACGTGGTCCCTGGACCCCTCCAGGTGCCACGAGCTCTCCCCGATGCGGATGGCGTCGCCGTGGAAGAAGCCCTTTGCACGAAGTCCAGGGGGACACGAAAACATCGGCACGAGTTCGAGGATTTCCCATCATTCCCTACCTAGGCTTAGCATAGCATAGCATAGCATAGCATAGCATAGCGCAGCATAGCATAGCATAGCATAGCATAGCGCAGCATAGCGCAGCATAGCATAGCATAGCATAGCATAGCATAGCATAGCATAGCATAGCATAGCATAGCATAGCATAGCATAGCGCAGCATAGCATGGCATAGCGCAGCACAGCACAGCAACTCATGCTGCTTCCCCGGGGGCCCCAGCTTCTAGGCAGGGTCGCACTGGGGCAATTGCAAGGTTCTATGTCCTGAATCCTCCTCTTCCCCCCCCCGACTCCGTCCCATGCTTGCTTCCCCGCCCGACCTTTGTCGTGTCCACCCACGTCCCCACCCAAGGCCTGCCGCGGTCGGCCTTCGTCGCCCGGGCGGCGCCCGAGGCGACCGCGCCCGCCGGGAAGGCCGTGGACACGACCTCGGCGGACACGCAGAGCAGCCACGAGAGCGTGTGGTGCATGGCGAGCGTGGCCACCGTGGAGGGCTCCGACGGGCGCTGCCCGGCCATCGTGCTGAAGAGGCACCCCGTGAACTCGAGCTTCATGAGGTCGTGCCCGATCGAGTCCGCCACCGCGCTTGCAGAACGGTTGGTGTGTGTGTGTGTGTGTGCATGCGTATGGGGCACAGATCTTCGTGCATCGAGTTCGCTGTGTGCGGAGCGGTAACTCTCACCCCCGTCCCCCAGACGCACCGAGCCAAACATGCGCCCACTTGCCGCTCAAAATCGCTCCGCCTTCAGCCTTCCGCGCAGATAGTCTCAGCGAATTATGCTTTTGTATGTATCGAAAAATTGGAGGATGAGATCGAAGTGAAACGGAGACCCCACACAAGGAAATCAGTTTCGGTTTCGTGTCGTGCGTGCGGGCGAGGCGAATCTGCGTGGGCGAGCGAGCGGAATGAACTCGACATTGCTAGGGCGACACTGGGCCAAATGTTGCTCCCGCCCCAGTTGGCCAACAGTGGCTCGGGGTTGCCCCGATGGTGTTCCGATGGTGTCCCGATGGTGCCCCGATGGTGTTCCGATGGTGTCCCGATGGTTTGCCGATGATGTTCTCATGGTGCCCCGATGGTGCCCCGATGGTGTCCATACGGAGTCCCGATGGTGCCCACATGGTGTCCCGATGGTGTC